CTATTCAATTATATATATATATATATATATATACATATATATATATATAACGGAAAAAGAATTTTGGAAGCAGGATGCGGCCCTGCATCAACATTGTACATTTTTTATTCACTTTCGAACTAAACAGCCTGAACTTAGAAATGAACTCACCAGCTATAAACATCGCTTACTCTGTATTCGTTCATTATTAATATGCAACGCGTATACCTGTATAATAGCATTAAACTTGAAAAGTTCTGTCGCACGTAACAATCTACCCTTCCAACTAGGATAAAAAAAGGGAGCTTAGTTATCACGTAGATGCCGATATGGCTTTAAAGTTGTCGATACATACAGGTTATCATTTTTTTCTTCAACTAACTTATAGCGAATTTGGTCATTCGCACTACACCGGATTAATGCACACTAAATGCAGCTATACATAAAATTTATGAAATGTAAAACTACACAAACGTTTCAAATGGTTATATAAATAATCTATATTGAATTTATCATATTATTTAACAGAATATGCATGATAATGATTTCATCATCAAAGAAATAATATGCCACTACACTACACTACTACTTTAAAAATAAATATTTCATATATAGCAACTTTAAAAATATGGTGTAGATGACTGAATTCAATATTAGATACAGCAATATAACGTTTTTCAAACGTGTGACGAATAATGAATTATATTGCAAATGTTTTATAAAACAGAACTATCAAAAAGATTAAAAAGTAAACTAATAAAAAGATTAATTGAGATTGTAAAGCATGAATGAACGCACCCGTTTGAAAAGTATTATATTTGTGATGTATAACAATTCTATTATATTACTGATCATAAACATTATTGTGATAGAATTTTCTATTGCATATATTCAAACAGATTATGACTGGGCTATTGGATTAAGCCGAACTAGTTTGAAGTTTTTTGGTGTATGGCCAGAAAACAATGAAACGAAACGGGAAAAATACATATCCAATATATATATATTTCTTATAATAAATATTGCATTCTGTGGCTGTCTTATTCCATCTGTACATTCTTTAATCAAAATTTGGGGTGACTTAATGTCTATGATTGATAACGTGCAATATACTTTAGCATTCGTGATAGTAATAATAAAGCTTCTTGTTTTATGGTTAAAAAAAGAGGTAATGCATACACTCTTGCAAATTATATTTTATAATGACATAATTCATAATAACAGTTTATGACACATTACACAGTAAACAGCAATTTTTTATGTTATTTTAAATAATAATGTTTTATTTTAAATAATTATAAAATATATAACCGATGTATTGATTGTAGACATTCTTCCGCTTTTAAACATGATAAAAAACGATTGGTTGAAACCAAAAACAGCAAATGAAAGAGATGTTATGATAAAACAAGCCCGAGCTGCACGTATGCTTACATTATTAGGATTTTTTATAATGTTGTTGACTTTCATTTTGGGGGTTAATTCTTCCTGTTTTCGGCATTTCAACAAGATATATGACCAATAAAACGGATCCAGGCAAATTAGTCCCAATGCAAACGTATTATATTTATGATCGAGATAAAAGTCCATTGTATGAGATAACTTTTATTGTGCAAAGTATTGGCTTGTCGACGGTTGCTTTAGTGTATACTAGTACAGATAGTTTCTTAGGTTTATTGATCTTTCACATATGTGGTCAATTGGAAAATCTCAAGGCGTGTATTATTCATCTCGGTAAATTCTCAAATTTTGAGAGTGGTCTATCACACATCGTACAGGATCATGTGCGTCTCGTCAGGTTATAAAATATATTATAACATATTTATATGAAATAATTTTTAATATAAAATATAAAGTAATTCCTTTTTTCTTTAGTTCTTAGCTAAAATAAAAATTATAAAATTCTAATGTATTAATATAGTATTTTTCATTAAATCTTGAAAATTTTTAGTTTATTAATTTATGATAATGTATATATTTGATATAATTTGATATAAATTGTTTTATATTATAAATATAAATATAATTATATATAAATTTAGATCTAAAATAAAAAGGTGCAAAACAACAATTTTTTTCTAATTCGAGTATTATATAATACAAGATAATTAACATAATCATAAAAGATAATTAAATAATCATAATTTCTTTATAATTTTCTCTTATCAGATCTATGAATACAATTAATAATACATTTATGCTAATGCTACTTGGAACAGTTTTTTTCTTTATTGTACTATTCGCATTTAACGGATTTTTATTGAGTGTAGTAAGTATTAATTTATAACCTTTCTGAAAAACAATATAGTATAAAAACATATAATATCACATATATATTTTATGTATTTAAATATTTTCTAAAAATCTTATAAATTATTATGTATATCCGCACAGAAACAGATATATATATATATATA